CTTGAGATATTCTATTCTAGAAAAAGTTTTAGCAGGCAGGGAGATTTCTCTGGTACCATTTAAAGTCTGTATATATTATTTATCAAAACACTGAAAAATATTTGAAATGTTTTTATAACATCAAATGTCAGCAGACTCCCTGAGAAAATCATTAACAATAATACCAATTATTTGCAAGCAGGCCTGTCATGAAAGCAGTTATACAGCACATTTCAGTGGAAAGACTATTTTTTTCAGTACAGAGGCAACATAAATACTTCAAGAATAAAGCTGCTTTATTAAAATAAGAGGATTATAGTTAAAAGATAAAATGTTTTTTTTTTTAAATCATCCCTTTTTAATCTTGATTTAAAGTGACCATGTATTTTAGTGCTATTTTAGCTTTCTGTGAGTTTATTTCACCTTTGTGGAGCATAAGAACTAAACACTTCTCCATTTTTGTTTCTGGTAGGTATGCAAAGTAGATTAGAGCCAGAATATCTGAGAGGTCTGGGTTGATACAGTACACTGACAGCAAGTCTATTATGTATTTAGGAGCTTAGCCATTCAGTGATCTTTGGCCTAACAGAAGTATTGTATAGTTGGGGAGCCAGTGTGATTTTAGCATTGAAAAGATGTGCTCCGTTTCCTTTGTTTGGTGAGGATGCAGGCTGCAGCTTTCTAGATCAACTGCAGCTGGCTGATCAACAGGCCTGTAAAGACACTGTTGCTGTAGTCAATTTTACTGAAGATTTTACGCATCGATTACTTTATGCTACGTTCAGACTACATGCTTCAGAAGCAGCAGAAGCAGTTAGTTTACATTAAAAGTTAATGGTTGACATGCTTCATGGCGCAGCAAAAGGTCCTGACGCGCATTTTGAACAGCAGGAGCAGTATGTCTGAGCAGTTGAATTGGCGCCTCACAAGCTTCTGAGCATCTGATGTGCGTGACGCGCTTCAGAAGCAGCAGTTGGAAGAATTGAACTTTTTCTGCTCGACGCGCCACACCAACCAATCAGAGAAGCTTATATTGGAGCTGGCAGGGACACAGAAACAGCACTGCTGATGCAGATTGCTATGATCGCTCCTCTGAAACAGTTTAACTACTAAATTAACTTAAAAGTCAAAACCTGCAGGTTATATGTTCGATTTTATTATTCTGGTGCCTGCATTTTGGATTACGTACATGAAAAACCAAATTTAAAGGCAGAATCGTAATCTTGATGAATTGACTACACAGATGAAGTTTTAAGGTGGACCTTTTAAATTAAAAACATAATAAAACTACTTTTTACCCACTGATCACAGCAAATATAGCTGCCATTGTTACAGGCAAAGAAAAGATAGTGTAGCTTCGCCCAACGCGCGTCAAACCCACTTTTCGACCGCGCACCAAGAGTGACGAAAAGATGCTTTAGCTGCGCGTTAGAACTGAACTTGTACAAGCATCAAAAGTAAAGCAGCACGCACATTTTTGCTGCTTCTGCTGCATGCGGTCTGAACGTAGCATTATTCAAGCCCTGCTGAGGCATTAGACATTTAAAGAAAGATTATCTTGCATTTTTCAGTTGCAGTCTCTGAAGCCTCTTTATAGATGTTACAGTGAGGCTAAAGTCCAGACTTTTGCCATCTGTGTCCGACTTTTCAAGCATCCCCTTTTATTACGTCTTACTGCTGAAGCATTTCTTCTCAGACACCTTTATTTACCAACCTTTACTTTAACTGGACCAACATAATCAATTGTGTCTGAAATAAAATGAAAGTTGTCTACCATTTGAATTTGAAATCATGCTTTCAAAAAATAGGTGGTCAGACAGAGCAACATCAGCTACAGACATCTTAGAAATGTTTAGAAACCAAAGTTTCTAAAAATTTCACTTAGTTCTGTCTTATCTACTAAATTTCCGGTTGCTGTTTTAACTCTTTTGGCCTATTTCATGAGATCAGACGGGTTATATTTAACCGCTTGTAAATACTACTAATCTAACAGCCATACATTGGGGCCTGGGTGTTTATAGTGAAAGTGAAGAATGTTTTTGAAATGAATTGGTTCATCTCAGATCATTTGTGATTTACCAAGGAAGGAGAAAGGCTTTTTCCCCTCACAGGAACAAATTCATTTGAAGTTTTATGTTAGTTGTTTTTTCGGTGGTGTCAAAAATACACACATTTGTTACTTAAGTAGAAGTATAGATACTGCAGTTTAAAAACACTGATGAAAGTTGAAGTATCAACTTGACCTCTTTACTCAAGTAAAAGTAAAAAGTATGTGCTCCAAAAACTACTTAAAGTATAAAAGTATAAAGTAACCTTTAAGAAAACAGCCAGATCCCATTATGAATTGTAAGCTAAATTTTTTGACTATCTCGAAAAAATTCTTTGAGATAGGGCCAAGGATGTAGCCTGAGTGCCATTCCGAACTTAGTCCCGCCCACAAGGTTTGAGGTCGGGAAGTTCGGTCTGGCATTGCTCCATAGTAGCGCGAGTATGATCGCCCAATCTCTGGCGATCCAATCAAATTGTCAGGGCGGGCTTTATACGATGATGGACAGATGATCAACAGTAACGTAATCAACCACGTGACCAAAGTGCGCTTGGGTGACAACAACAATGGCTGCCGCTGGAGAGTTTAGGTGAGTAGATTCTGCTATTAGGTCTGTTCTAGAAGATATCGACAGCAAATTAATTTTAAAAGAGGAACAGAGAAACTCGATCAAGGCTCATCTTCTTATTCTAGGCGTGCAACTGCACGCTTTGATTTTTGTTGACAACAACTATGCGTTGCTTATCATACGTCACGCACTCCGCGTTGCTCTTATTGGTTGTAGGTCTATCCAATTGAGTGCAGAGGCATTTTTTTTCCTGGTTCGTTCAAAACACGCCCCATAATCACAGCTCTATGGAGCAGTATCAGACTCATATTCTGACTAGAATTGAGTAGGACTACGTCAGGCTACAAGGATGAGGGAGATCTTGTCTCCATCCCCCGATACTCTCTCGCATGTGTCCGACCTTTCAGACATTTCAACATCTTTTTTTTTTAATCCAACATTGTAGCATGGCATAGACCAGAGGTCTTCAACAGGGGGTCCGTGACCCCTAGGGGGTCCGCGGAGGTACTGCATGGGGGTCGCGAAACTTTTGGGTGATTCATTTATTTTTTTTTTATATTCCCTCCTGAATTGAAATGTCTTTAAATCCACATTAACATGAATTCAACACACTGTAGTAAACAGATAAATGGAGGCAGAAGATGTCTTTAAGTCATCAATGCACACATTCAGCGACACACAGGAGCTCTTTCAAGCTGGGCACCGTTTCATTCACAACACCTGTCCCATCAACCAGGAATCAGAATCAGAAATACTTTAATAATCCAAGGGAGAAATTACTTTCCTTACATTACTCCATCTGTAATAGAGTGACTATAGGACCAGTTTGATATAACACAATTTCATACAATATATATAATTAGGGGGTCCCTGCTCCATCTTGTCATCAGTTTGGTGGTCCTTGAAGACCCCTGGCATAGACAATTCGCATTTGCAGTTTTAAGAACACCTGCTTGCTTCTGATGATTTCCTTTAACTAACCAATGATTGTTTGCGTTACATGACTCATCCAATTACACTAGTTTTCACTAGATGTGGATGGCGCCAATGATCTGCCTTGGATGGCGCACATGACGTGAAATAAATATTTATAAACATTAAACCGAAGCCAAAAGTAACAAGTAAAATTTGTTTTAAAAATGTAAGGAATAGAAAGTACAGATACTTGTGTGAAAATGTAATGAGTAGAAGTCTGAAGTAGGAAGTAAAATAAGTAATGGAGTAAAGTATAGATACCTAAAAAGTGCACTTAAGTAGGCTACATTAACATTGTTACCTGACACCTCTATTGTTGTTTTCTTTGTTTTAGTATTAACTAATAGGATTTTACACTATGTTTGCTGATCTGATGCATTAAAGTGTAAAAATAAGCAAAAAAGTGTACTTTATGGCCCGCCCACCTGGCAGCAGCTACCCCCCCTCCCTCCCAAGTTGCAGGTAATGTTTCACGTTTCAATCACAGTGTGAGTCACAACATGCACGCCTCTGCATGCACACCAACACAAAACTCCTCAATACTTTCTGTTCATCCCTTTGAACAAAGTCCACCTGGTGCCTCCTTCCTTGTTTAGGAGCAATAATACCTAAGTATGCCTCACAATAAGCGGCACAACATTAAAACCCTCTATATCGTTCTATCCATATTGCTTGAATCTCTGGTAATAATGAATATTAATACAATTTATAGTCTTGGAAGTGCATTCATTTTTTTTTTCTTTTTCTTTTTAATGGGTGTGATTTTATTGTGCGTTGCACGTGTGGATCTAATTAACTGTCTTTTCACTGTTTAACGGTTTCATCCCGCAAATATAACTTAAGCCTATAATTGCACCGCAAAAGCTTAAAGAAACACTAAACTAACTCGGATTAGGCATTTGTAAGCAACTCAACTTTGTTGAGCGCGTGCGGACAATACACTTTTACTACATAACATGGGGTTTATTCACCCCGATATTTATTCTTTTTGTAAAAAACAAAAAACAAGACAACAAATACATTTTTTTCGGAGGCATGTGTGCAGCCTGCTTACCTGCAGCTTCAAGACTGGAGGAAACTTCCGGCATTGATCCGCTCACCTTTACTTCCCTACAGTCTTTTTTTTTTTTCTAAAAACCAGGCTTTGGATTTCACTCTAGTATCAGTCACTCTCCTCTGAGTAAAATCAGCTCCACGCCCATCGGGGAACCTTTCCCGTCTTTAACTTCTGATCAAAAACCAACCGAGTCAGTAATGTTTGTTGTGACACTTACCAGCTGTCAAACCATCGTCAGCGCGTGTTTCTGAGCCAACACGGAAATAAGGACATGGTGTTATTAGAGAGAAGGATGGAGCTCTAGAGCTGTTCAGAGGAATGTGTGAAGTCTTTAAGCTGGCATGTCCCTGCCTGATCCACATGCTCCGGGCTATGGATTCAGTGGGGATAGGAATGCATCAAGTTTTACTAAGAAGGATTGCTTTTAATGAAGAACTGCAACAGATAATCATTATTAATTAAAATGCAATTTATCTATATTTATTCACATGCTTTTCAGCAGCAAAAAGCAGCATAGTCGAAGTAAATTCTATTAAGAATACTTAAGTATAAGTTTAGAAAGTATACGCGAACAATGTACTTTTAGTCTACTTGAAGTATTACTAAAGTAATACTTCTTCGAACTAAATTTTTTAAAATTTAGTTTAAGTTTACTAAAGTATACTTAAAGTATACTTTTTTAAGTTTATTAAAGTATACTTTAAATAAAGTACATAAACAATAAAGTAAACAATAGTATAGTCAAGTGTACTTGAGCTACATTGTCCTCTAAACCAGTGATACGTTAGTGAAATTGATGTCTGCTGGCTGGTTTAGTTTTTCTTTTGGTCTCGATTGTCGAAATGGACAGCAATTACAAATATGTTTAACACGGCTTGATTACAAACATTTAAGTTGGAACCTCACAACACCAGCTTTGCCACTAGATATGGCTCCGTTCT